CAGAAATCAACGTTCCTAAGTTAATACCTATCGATCATTTGTTACTGTAGATTGGATCCCACAGCCGTTTGCTCTTGGTAAAGTTTGTTGTTGGAGTATCGTGAGGTGGTGATTTCCAGCAAACGCGAATCAGGGAATACTATTCGTGTGGTAGTGTTTTTGCTTTGTAATGTTCTGTGTGCTTTTTTCTTCACAGTGAAATGATTAGCGTGCTGTTTGTAAAGTCTAAAATTAAATAATCTCTGCCTTGTTGGCGATTGTGCGCATTAATTCGTCATATTGTGAATTTGCTGTCCTGTTCGCAGGCATGTTACCGATTACAAATGTGTGGTTGTGTTTCTCTCCCAAGAATGTGCTGTTTCCGCTCATCTGTAGATTTTGTTCACCAATTACTGCTCAGTTTCCACTAACTCTGTTGCAAATATGCTGACGATGCTGCCATTCCGGGGTCCGTGAAATAGCATGGCTTAATTGAGCCCTAGAAACATTCATTTGGCGTCTTCAAAGATTTTGGGACTAGGGACAGACTTCCAACTAAACAAAAATCTTTCGCTTTTATGTTCCTAGCTGAGGGCAGGAAAATCCTACTCTGTTGCATGTCGTCTTTCGGAATGTCATGATTCACAACAAAGACATTTTTTGGATAATGCAAACGTATCCGTTACCCAGGCATTGTCACTGACGTCAGCTTTTCGAGTACGCTTAATGCGACCGCGATAAAGATTAAAATTCTTGAAGTATGGCATTGCTCGCCGAAACTACTTTTTTTTGTCATCATCGTCAGGAGTTTGCGGTATGGCAGATTCTCCAACAAACTGCCGTTTCTGACGATGGTAGCGTCCATTTTTTTCGTGTCCAGCGACCCTGATCGGCAGAGCTGTTTCGTTTACTTAAACCATCGTCTGTCTCTGGTCCGCTGCCAGGTAGACGATGGCGGAATTCTGTTGCGGAAGTTTACAGCCCCTGCGAGGGCAGTGTGAACATTAACTTGCAGCCTCGTCACATGGCGATACACGTCTGTTCAAAGACAACCGTCAGTGACAGTGTTGGTTCGGCGAAGATCACGTTTCGACTGAAACCATGTAGCGTGATGCTGAGAAACTGAACTTTTTATATTGAAAGTCAAGTTCTAGAGATTTTCCGTGTTCACCTCTGCAGCGTACAGATTTCGGCTGTATACAGCAGCATCGTCAGAATGCCGGTTTGGTAGTCATAATTTGTACGCTGTTCTAGGGTCCTGGACCACCAAATGCGTTGCATAGTGTTCTAATTCATAGCCGAAGCAGCCTACCGACACCGCAGAATACGTCGGGTTTGCAGAATCCGGAAGAGTTCTGCGGGCTTCGACATAATGAAATTTCTCCACACCTTTCAGCCGTATGGCCCTGTACGTGAGCATTGATGGTGGGCTTACGTTCGTCTGTACGTTCATCATTTGCTAAGAGATTATCAAGCTGTACTTATTCGAAACGTCTTTTACGACTGAGGTAATAGACTGGAAGAACTCTGGAAAATGGCAGAGAACGTTATATCACATGCGTAATCCATATCTCGTGAAGGCAGGGGTGCCAACGCAATCTTCCAGCGCTGCAGTATATGCTCAGAGATCCAGTCCTTTGCTCTGCAAAAAAACTCATCAGCGAGTACGCACCTGTACCTCTCTTCTGATAGTGGTTCGAAGTCGTTCTCTTCTTGCAGATTTTGGAATGGCACTGCAACGGACAAATTTACAGCGGTTCGTTTGTCGTCAGGAATCCTTGATGCCGTACATTCGCTTTCATCCATCTGTCTGATCGGTGTTTCACAGAATCAAGTCGAGTTCGAAGCTTGATTACTTGATATGCCTGCCTTACGTTGTCATGACACAGGTCTTCTACTTCATCCGCCAGCTAATTTTAGTGGGCATAGTGGTCTAACCTCGCTTTTTCTTTGAAAACTTTTTGAAAGTATCGTTCGGCGCTATTGCTTTCCTGTGAGATTCGGCTTCCAAAAGCTTGAATAATTCTCCTGATGAAACGTGCAAAGAGGGATGCTAAAAATGAGTAAAGCACAAGGTTTGGGAGAAACTTTATCGCTTTCATTGTGGTTGCAGCACTGAGAATAAGTAAGATCCTTATTGTTGTTTTGTCATCGTCGTTTGAGACTAACAGCTTAAATGGCAGAGCATCTCAGATTATTGGATGGACATTTCATAAATTAGATCAGCGTTTCAGCCTTTCAATTTTTGAACTTCTGCGTTACATTTAAAAGTCCAGGAGTCATTTTCCAGTGCCCTTACCTTGGCGCTTTGTCCAAACCGTCATCCTGTAGACGATACTCATTAGTAGTCAAAAATTATGTAATATCTGATTTTTTTTCGTATGCCGAGGACGAACGACAAGCCGCAATGCACGAATTTCGCCGTATGCCAAACAGTACTGCCCGTCTTTATGAACGAATGGTATAATAGGCCAATTTGCTAATCTTCGATGTCGTGCTTTGTAAATGGTCGGTCAGTTTTGATGACCGTATATTTTTGGGTCACGCAGGCAGACGCATCACACTATCTCCAGTGTTCTCTATCCAGATCCAGCATTTGAGCTCCGAGAGAATATAACCCGCGCTTAGAACAGAGTCCTTCCGTGTACTTGCCCACGGTTATTCTCGTTGTCCCCT